ATATGATTATATTTTTACATTAATTTTATTTGATTAAAATGGTACATTGTATTCTTCAAGCTTATTTTTCTACTTTTAAACTTTTTTAACTTAACAATTTGTAATGTTTAAATTTATACAGTTCGTATAAATTTTGGGTTGACCATAATCTCGACCTATTTATCAGTTGAGTCATGACTAGGCTGGAACTGAACTTAAAAAATTGATCTAATCATAACATGAAGTTTATATTAAGCTAAATTAAGCTGAACTGACCCCACTTATCCTGATTGCATGGAACCCATGAGGCCATCACACCATTTGAGAGAGATAAAACATGTTTAATGCTAGTTATCATGCTAGCTAGCAATGTTATGCTGTAACTACCTTGCTACTTTGATGAATAATGTATTATACTTACATGTCATCTTCAGTATAATATTTTTACACATTTTAATTTATTCTTTATTATTTCTCTACGTAGGTTGAAGCACAATCATAACAACATGAAAACAAATTATATTAATACGATTTACACATCATTTTCATCACACTATTTTACAGGACTTATTTTTTGAGTGACAAAATGAGAGAAACAAACTATATTTTATCTTTTTTAATTTAAATAAATAGATATAATAAAAGGTGTTAAAAAGAAATGATGTATTACAAATATTCCCCCAAAAATTTGTGCCGGAAACGTAGTACTAAATAAGGCGTAGGAAACCCTCGAGGGTAGCTCAGTTGGCAGCTGAGCTCATAAGGGATTGCTTGGTGCAGGGATCAAACCCTGGCTCAAGCAGTTTCTTGAAAAATCTTTGGGGGCCAGAGGATAAACCAAAAATCTTCGGTTGGGGATTAGTCTCGTCCTTTCTCCGGTTGCGAAGCTTAGTGTACCCACTGTTACAATGAGGGGCTAGCCCAAACGGGCCGCACCCCGAGGGCATGGTACCCGGAGAAGGTTGAATGGGGATACCTCCTGGCAATGTACCAAAAAAAATAAAAAAATAAGGCGTAGGAAATATATATAAATTCAAGTTAGAAGCCAAGCTGTTTCCAACTTATTCTATAGTCCTATTTATTAATGCTTGCCCATTTGTAAGATATATATTCAAGTCCACTCGTCCCAAAACAGCGAGAATTTCCTTGGTTTAAAGCATAAACCCACACGCACAGGTTGGTAACATTTGGTACTTTCAGTTTCAGCGCAATTGAATTTGAATTGGACCACACAGTGGACCCATTTCTAGTCAAATTCGCTGGCTCAGTCGGGACATAGATTCAACTAATACTATTCAGATTATAATTTGCATATCCTAAGACATGCGCATTGAGTTTCTTCTACAAAGAATAAAATTGGTAAAATCATAATTAAATTATATTTGAATATAATTTTAAATATCAAACTATGACTTAAACAAAACATTTCAGATGAGTCAAATTATCAAAAATGTTATAAAAGTGAGTGTATCGTTCGATCCCTGAAGCCCGGAAATTAGTGCATCTATTCATTCTAATGCGTACTAGCATTGAAGATAATTTTTTTTTTTTTTTTATAACAATAAGCGGCGTAGCCCCCAAACAAAAACACAAGAGAAACTAATAAAAGCAACTAACAAACTATCCAGGGTCTATAATCCCCAAAAGGTCTTGATCAAAAAGTTAAACAAGCTCATCTGACATGATTCTATGATGCCAAAATTCAGTGTATTTGTGAAGAGCAGACTTCGCTATCCAATCTGCACAAGAATTTGCTTATCTAGGAATATGATTTTTGAGCAATAAGTTCTTGTATCTTAGCCACTATACGTGGCTGACAAGTTGCATTGTAATCTGCAAGAATAGAGAAAACTTCATAAACATCTCTTTCTAGTTCCACTTTCCTAAATCCCTTGCCAGCCCATCTCCAATCCTTTAAGAGTTCCCCAAAATTCTGCCATGGTTGAGGTACAAGCACCAATATGATACTCAAAACCTCTTAACCATGAACCATCATCAGATCTGATTAACCCACCACAAGCAGCCATTTCACTAGTCCTTATAACAGCGCCATCTACATTGATCTTCACCCAATTTGATCTCGGTGGTTTCCACATAACTGGACGGATTGTACTAGTTTATATACTATGTTTTACCAACACTAACACAGGACATGATATAATACGCCGACACGTTAATTTTGAAAAATGTTATATTTTGATACATTATGATACATTTTGATATTAAATAATATTTTTAATATATATAATATAATTTATTTTTAATACACATAATAGTTCATAATAAATTGTATAACCAATCAAATATTTAAATTTCATAACATAAATATAAACAAAAATAATTTTTCATGTCAAATTTTATAACAGAAAAAATTGATTTATAAATTATTTTTTCATGTTTAGTTAATAAAATAAAATTTAGACCTAAAAAAAAGTGTCAGATGTTTGTTGGAGCGTTGATCACGTGTCAAAAAAAGGTGTCGGTGTCTGACACGCATTTTTCAAAAAATATTGTGTGTCCGTGTTTTACAGTTTATATATATATATATATATATATATATATATATATATATATATATATATATATATATATATAGGTAAAGCAGATGTATAGTGACTGCACCTAAGGATTGATGCAGTTATACTATATACTACTAGGTAATACTTGATTTTTGAAGAGAGAAAAAAATCATATATTACCCGTAGTACATAGTTAATTTCTGAAATACACTATATACTACCAATAATACATAATTATAATTTTTTGACCGTACAAAATCTTATATACAATGACATTATACATTATTTTCCATATATATATAAATATATATATATAAGGATATATTTTCCTTATGTTGTAGAAAAAAATTATTTCATGTTGTAAAAATAAAAATATAAGTGGGATTCACAAATAAAAGGAGAGAGAAAAAAGAGTGGTAGGACTCAACTCCTCTTTGTGTGTGTAGAAAAGTTGTTTATCTCATATAAAATGAGATAAACATAATTCATATATATATATATATATATATATAATGATAAAATATTCGGGTTGAGCTCCGTCAGTAGGCATGCTTGAGCTCATTATATAAGGGAAAGTGACTAGTGGCAGATCATAAGTTATGAGTAATAACCAGAGTTAGAGACTAACTAACTAGAATGGTAAACTAGCTAACTATAGTTATATATTTATATATTATATTTATATTAAAGAAGTCGAGATATCAGTATTCTGTGATCTGTCCCCCACTTTTTAGCTAACGACTTGGCATATTTTTAAATCATATAATGGTATGTCAATTTTATTAAATCATCGAAGGAAAGGTAGGATTTAGTGTATATGAACATTTCTTGGGTATAAGGCCTTCAGCTATGAGGAGATAGAAAGCATTTTTTTAATTTTTAAAATAATTTTAGTTGTTCACAAAATATTATTTAATTTTGCTTATTAAAATAAAAAATATATACAAAATTTGAAGCCGAACTGCTGAACTAAGTTATATTTATTTGAAAAATATTAGTCTCCTTTTACATGAGGTAACTTATCTCATTTTCTCTCACTTCGATTTTCGCACCTCACTTTTTTTTTTTCTTCTTGTAATGGTGAGACCACTTAGTTTCTCTCTACAACATAAGATACTTATCTTATGTAAAAGGAGATTAATAAAACCCTTTAAAAAAAGCATTTGACTGTTGGGATAACTGTGTATTAAGCCGGCACTGAGGCTTATAGTTTAAAAAAAGCATTTAATATTACCAAAAAAAGAAAGAAAAAGCATTTGATTGTGATGATAACGGTATATTAAGCCGGCACTGAGCTTATAGTTGATTGCCCAACTTTTTTTTTATGTTTGTTTATACTTTTGATGATCCTGCATCAAGCCACAAACAATATCCTAAAATTTATATACGTGAAATTTATTCTTTGTTAGTTAACATGATTGGAGTGAGAATTCACCTTGATGCAATTTTCAAAGAGAGTGCCACTTGAATCTTGACAGCCGTCATTTTCACTTTTCAGTGTAAAAAATGTTCTTGAATCTTGAATTCCTACTAATAATTAAGAGAGAACCTCTCTAGAAAAGAGTTTTACAGAATCTACACTGCAATTTTTTAATTTTTTATTAAGGTGTATATGATAATTATTTTATATTTTAGTTCTGTTTTTCAAAGAACAATAATTTTTTATTTTTATATTTAGAAATATATTTTGAAAAAAATATGTGCTTGATAATATAATTTATTTTTTATTCCTGTTGAAATAGAACACACACATATATATAATATTAATAAATAATGTGTATTTAATGATCATAATTTATATTAAAAAATAAAAAAGTTATTTTTATTTCTATCAATTTATATTGTTGGGCTACCAAATAAATTAATTTTATCAAATATTATTTCTAACCATTTATGTTCTAGATTACCCGGAAAAGAGAGGAAAAGAAAGAAAGAAAGAAAAAAAAACCCTCATAAACCATTAAGTATCATGTAAGTTAGAATGTTAAAAGTAAGCAATTGTTTTCGGTGGGGATGGTATTTGAGGATTAGTATTATAACAATACACATAGAAATAGCTTGTTTTCATGACCAAAAAAAAGAAGAAGAAATAGCTTTTTTTTACCGGCGGGGGGGGGGGGGAACCAAATATAATTTTTTATTGGAAACTATTGGGGTAGCTCTTTTTTGATTCTCTCATTCTTCTGAACAATAAATGACATCATTCATTAAATTTGCAAATCGATGACAACACTTTTGACTTGAGGACAGGTTTTGCAATCTGCAGTGTCTATTAGAGATTGAAAATCGCAGGTCTCCTCCAAATGGTCTTCCCCAGCGCAATGAGCACGCCTAATGCGACTTACCAAAGTCAGAAAAGAATTCTCTTGAAGCATTTCTACAAAAAATTAATGAGAAACATATCAAGCCTTTGTCTACATTATTTCATGATGCAACCAAAGAACAAAAAATGATTATAAACACTTGAACAAAACTTGATCAAGTCTTGTCATTTGCTGCGCTATACAGGGTAACCAAATTTGGCATGATCCTAATTCCTAAACGCATGAAAATTGTCAATCTAATTAACGAGCAAGATTGGCCGTACTCCAAAGGGAACTTGCAAAGGTTGCTCCACTAGCAGAACTTGATTCTGGTGAAGAGTTTGTTCCCATTTGTTGACTTATTTGTTGCTTGATTCTGATGTTCCTTAGATCAGCAACAAACCCTGGTTTTGAAATGTGAACATCTTTCATATCAATGTTGTTGCTCAACATTGTTAAAACCTCTGACATACTGGGTCGAAGCTTGGCGGTTTCTTGCACACAAAGCAACCCCACCTTTAGGAATTTCGTTGCTTCTTCCGCCGAGAAGTTCATATTAAGCACTGGATCCACTAGTCTTAATAAATTGTTGGCTTCGTACGCTGCCCATGCCTGCAAACAAGTTCACACACATGCACATTTCTTCATTTTGACCAAATCGTGACATAAAAAGGGTATACCCCAATACATAAGACTAGCCAATTTGCAAGAATAGAGATAAGGGTCGAATCGGTCTTATCTTTACAATTTTGCAAAGAGACTATTTTCTAAACTCAAATCAAATCTTCGTGTTGCAAGGAGTTATAAGGAGCAACGTTACCATTACTCCAACCCTCAAATCATGACATAACAACTGAAAAAATTAAGTTAACCCCATTTCGTTTTGACTCATATTTGTTTTCTCTCCTATTACTATTTTTCCACACAGTGAGGCTGAATTTACAATCAAGAAGTCAAAATGAGACATTTTGACTCCAATTTTCATACCTTCTCTACAATGAAACGTTCAACGTCTTGATAGGCATCCACAACTGCTAGGCCACTGACAATTTGTAAAAGTAATACTCCAAAGCTATAAACATCTGATTTTCGTGTCACCTGTCCAGAACTGGCATACTCTGGAGCCAGATAACCCCTGAAAAAAAAAAAAAAACAGATTGCAAGAAACCCCATTAGTCACGGAATTAAAAGCGTTCAAATTATTTTAGCCAAGGGTAGTTTTTCTTAATGTTGATCACTCACAATGTCCCTGCAACCCGAGTACTGATGTAAGATTTTTCATCTCTCAGTAACTTCGCCAAACCAAAGTCAGAAACTTTTGGTGTAAAATTCCGATCAAGAAGTATATTTTTGGACTTGATGTCTCTATGCACAATATGAGGCTTAAGCTCCTCATGGAGAAAGACAAGCCCCCTAGCCACACCTATGGATATGTTCCTCCTTGCTTCCCAGCTGAAACTCATCCTTCCCTCCTCCGAACCTATCAATCCAAAGCCACAAAAGAAGAATCATTATTATCTTGGTCTGCTTGCTTCTATCCTCCAATTCAAACACTTGTTTTGGAAATTATATACAAAGGCATAGAAATCCTAAAATTACCTAAGAAAGTGTGGTAGAGGCTGTTATTTTCCATGTAATCATAGACTAAATATCTGTGAGCACCATCCACACAACACCCTAGAAGGCTAACTAGATTCTGGTGCCTGATATTTGCAAGTGAAGCCAATTCTGCTACAAACTCCCTCTCTCCTCGCATGGATTCAAGCTCAATTGAAAGCACTTTCACAGCCACAAAAGAACCATCTTTAAGCCTCCCCTTTACAAATAAAGTCAACCCCAATATTCAGTCTTGGATCAATCAAAATTTGCATTAATAGCAAGTTTTTTTATTTGAATGGAGAATGTCTAACCTTATAGACAGAGCCAAAGCCACCTTCTCCAACCTTGTCCGAGGAATGAAAATTACGAGTGGCTGATTTCAATTGGTTGTAAGTGAATACACGAAAGCTTCCATCATTCTCTTCTTCAGGGTACTCTGCAGAGTAAGTCAACAAATCAAATATGATGAATGAAAAAAAAGAAAAACAAAAAGTTATTATTACACGATGAGAATAATTAGAGGAATTAACAAGACAGAAAGTGTTTGACTAATGTGTATATATACCGTTTTTGTTTTTTTCATGTGCCGATGATGCTGATGAGAAACAACGAAAAGCAGAAAAAAGAAGTTTCATGTCTCAAGAAAAGCGTAACGCTTCCTTGGATATCGGACTTTGGTCTATATATGAAGGTTTTGGAGATGGAGGAGAGCGTGTATGGCAAATGAGAATGGAACATCTTTGTGGAAACATTGAAAAATATTAACACGGCAAGGCTAGGTAAGCATTCTTTAGCCTTTGACACTTTCTTATTCATCGCTCCGTTTTCGAATTTTTTATTTTTTTTTCTGGATGGTCACTGACGATGACTTATTCCCTTTGGAAGGTTTCTAGTTAAAAAGGGACAGGAAAACTAATTGTTCTTAGAAAAATGTGAAAAAATTAATGAACGTGGGACATGACATGCCAGACATTGAGTTAAGTATATGGTTGGGTTATTGGCGTTCTGCATTTATCACACTCAGTATTATTTATGTTTAATTATAATTTACTAAATTGTAATTAATGATTTATTCTCTGCGTAATAATAAAAATATATACGTTCTAACTGTATGTAATGTCTTTTTTTTTATATTATTCATCGATTTATTAATTATTCGACTAATTCGATTCAAGCTGGATATATAATGTCTTTAGAGTACTAGTTAAGAAACACTTGATTTTTATTGGGTTTGCTTTTTTTACGGTCCGTATATGATTTATCTACATTGAGCCCAAAACAATGTCGTTTTAAAGCAAAAATCAAGGTATTTTTATAATTATAATTTATTTCAGAGTTACAATAATCTTTTTCATTATAATTTTTTAATAAACTCAAAACAACGTCGTTTTAGAAGCGAACATAGATAATTTCTCTACATTCACCGTAGAAATATTAAAGTCTTTTTTATTATATGACAGTAATATATTTTAAATAGGAAAATGTTATATTTAAAAAAAAAATCGTTTACCAACTCTTATTACAACTAAATTTTAACTGTTAATTTCTGAAAATCTGACGGTTATGAGTCACACTTATTAATTAATTATTAATTCTCAATAAATTATAACAGTCAGATTTGTAAAAATTAACGGTTAAGATTTGGTTATAAGAGTTTATAAACGAAAAAAGTTATAAATATAACCTTCCCAAATTAAGTAAACCCTGAATTTGATTTTTTTTCAAGATTAAGAAGTTAATATATTAGTTTTTTAAAAATTTTGCCACAAAATTTATCACGTTATTTTTTCAAAGATTTTATTACCAAATTAGACTTTTAAAGATCTAAAATATCACCCTATTCATCTTTATAGAAGATTAAAATGGTAACACAAAAAGGATGTCTTTGATAATTATTTTATATCTATGAAAATTATTTTATTGATAAAATATTTTTTAATAGAGGGAGTGATAAAATATTTTACAACACTAACGTAATGCGTAAATTTTGAAGAGCTAAATTAATAAAAAAAAAAAAAAAAATTGGAGTTAGTAACATGCTTACACCATCGTATTTGGAGGATAACAGTTTAATATTTTTAGTTTTTCACGTTAACTTTTAGGTCTACTAACCAGCATTTTATATCATTGGACATTTGCCCCCACAATAAAACTCTTATTATTATATAAAATTCAGGCTACAATATAAATTACTCCCTTGAACATTGACCATGTTTCAAATTACCCTCTTGTACTTTTAATTATTTCAATTAACCCCATGTACTTTACGATTGTTTCAAATCAATAATTCCGTTAAAATTTTTACAAATGCTGTTAAACCTCCTCACATGTCTAAGTCCCAAATCTCTAAAGTTTCTTCTCTCTTTTCTTCTACATTCTCCCATCTCTTATTACAATTTTCTTTGGATCTTTTCTCAGTAGTTTGAGATGATTTCGATTTGGATCAGAGAAGATTAATGTATCTCTTTTCTTCTATGTTCTCCCATGATCTCTTTTAATACATATTAACATCTTCTACGAAGGGGAAACAATCATCGCTGGAAACTTTATAAATAAATAATCAAGAGCTAAACACTCATATTTTAGGAAGCCATGAGTAATCAAACTTACCTCCACAACAACAGTTACAAAGTTTCCAATGATGATTGTTCCCCTTCATAGAAGATGTTAATATGTACTTAGAGAGATCATGGGAGAACATAGAAGAAAAGAGACACATTAATCTTATTTGATCCAAATCGAAATCATCCCAAACTACTGAGAAAAGATCCAAAGAAAATTGTAATAAGAGATGAGAGAACGTAAAAGAAAAGAGAGAAGAAATTTTTGAGATTTGGGGCTTAGGGCATGTGAGGAGGTTTAACAATGTTTGTAAAAATTTTAACAGAATTGTTGATTTGAAACAATTATAAAGTACAGAAAGTTAATTGAAATAATTAAAAGTACAAGGGGATAATTTGAAACATGATCAAAGTTTAATGGGATAACTTATATTTTAGGCTAAAATTTAATTATTCTTAATATATTTTAAAATTTATAAAGATTTGTCCTGTTGTTTGCTTAACACATAATTTTCTCAAAGGTTACATTCTTTCATCATTATAGCCTATATTGCACCGACACCGACACGAGATACGACACGACACAACACGACGACACGTTAATTCTGAAAAATATTAAATTTCGACACGTTAGGACACGTTTTGATATTAAATAATATTTTTAATTTATGTAATGTATATTATATTTAGTATTCAATAATTTAACAAAAAAATAAAGCTAAACTTATAATATCCATTAATTTTGAAAAGAAACATAATATATCCCAAATCTATTATATATAAAAAGGAGAACCAAAGAAACCCCCTTTGTGTTCACACTTTGTGTTCACACTTGCAACCCTCCAAAAAGCTGACGTGTCAAACTCTAATTCATGTTCAGCTGTGTGTTCACATTGTGTGTTCACACTTGCTGTGATAAATATATATATTTTTACTATAATGCTACACAATCGCTTGGTGATAGTAAAAATGGTACGTAACTCTGTTTTTCCAGTTTGATAAGTTTTTTTCGACAAATCGACCGATTTTTTTTTACTGATAGTATTACTTCTGGGTGTTAACATATTAGTGTAACATATTTAATGAGTTTTTGCCTTTTGTATCGTAGATTCGCAGGCACAAGGAACAAAATTCACATAGCAAATGGCATATTTGGTAAGTGTTGATCTTTTAACTCCATATGTGCTTAGTGTTATTGATACTTTGAGTGGTATGCATTATTCTTTTTATATCCCTTTCTCATGTTAACATGATGTATTATGGTGTATTATGATGTTTTAGTATGCAAAAATAATTGATCCCTCTGAATAGCAGATCTTTGTTTGTGGTTGATATTTGCAAAGTTCTGTGTCAATGTCGTAGTTTTTTCCACCTGAAATATAGAACAAAATAGCAACGCAGTTTTTTTTTTGTAAGTATAAGGTTTGCAGTGCGATTAACCAACCACGACGAACGACAAAAATTTTGATCTTTTTCTCCCTGCATCGCATGGGTAATACACTAGTGTTTATATTAAACTTAATAAAATCGTAATTGTAATCTAACGAATCTAATAGTTGAAACTCAAAATGTAATGCAACGTGACCTTTGAACCTTTTATGAATCTTTGTAACGAGCATTGGAGTGTCGAGAAATGTCGGTGAGTATCGAGAAGTATCGGATACGACACGTCAGGATTTTTAAAGTGTCGGTGCTTCATAGATTATAGCAATATATGATTTAATAATATTATAAAAATAAATGATATTAATAATATGTTAAAATTAAATATTTATTACATTTATGTAAGTGAATATAAATATTTAACAAAATTTTATCATTTTCTCTCCACAACTTAAATCTTTTGAATCCGCCAATGTTTAAGTCTGGCGGATTAGAAACTAAAAATTTATTTAACTATTTAGGTTAAGCATACGTATTCGTGTCCTTGCGCTTATTTTTTTTTTTTTTTACCATGCCGAAGCAAATTATTAAGACATTGTTAGCCGGTGGCCACACGGTATATTTTCTTTAATGAAATCGAAAAGGATTTTGTAAATTTTTTATTGGCAAATTATAGATTAAGAATAAGTCAAGTCGTTTTCAACATAGAGAATGCGCGCATCTTTTGTTTTTGATGAAAATGTGCGCATCTTTAAACAAGCAACTGCACATGTTCTCTTGACCATATCTAATGAATTTTTTTTCATCATGAGTTAGTGAGGTCAACTTTGTATCCTACAACGCCAAGCAATTAAGATGCTGATATGGCATCTTGAATAAAATGACTTTTTTAAAATTAAATATAATTGCAATTTAGTTACTTATTTGCAATTTCAAATAATAGCCTTTTAGCATACCCTGTGTACGGGTGTTTTCAATTTTATTTTATTTTTTTATAATCACAAGTTAAGCATCAAATTGAGGGATATATTTGTAAGAATCTAATGTAAACTTAAAGTTGTCAATATGATCAATGATATATTATTTTGTATGTTCATTTAAGCATGAGTGGCTTAAGAAAAATGATATGAAAAATAAGCAATGACATTATATGCTTTGATGTGTCTTTTAGTAAGAGAATTCTATTACTTTTTATCATTTTAGCTATATGAGTCATTTAGAGGTGTTCATCAACCGATTCAAACCACGGTGACCGAATCGAAAAATCGAAAACAAAAAAAAAAACCGCAAATTTTAATTGGATTAGATCGGTTTTCGGATTGGTAGATGAAAACTGATCCAATCCAAATCAATCCAATATATTAATTTTTCTCTACCTACTTAGGTCTTTCCCCAATCATAGCCCAAAAATTTCTAAACCCAAGACCCATTAACCCATCAACTAAACCCAAGAAAAAAACATAATCACATCTTATCAACAAATTTTGATTTATGTAGAGGTTCATATCTCATTTTCCAAATAAAAAAACTATATTATCGTTTAGTGATGCTTTTGTATTTAAAAAAAAAGTAAAACTACAAAGGCAATATATACAAAAGATGTTATTTGCACAATAATCATGAAACAATTTTTAGGATTTTCAAAAAACCGAAAACCGATCCAATCCAAACCGAAAAAAGTGGATTGGATCGGATCGGATTTGAAAAAAAATCCAAACCGAATGGATGATTACATGATCAAACTGAAGAAATTGGATCAAATAATTTTTTCTTCTAAAACTGATCCAATCCAGACCGCGAACACCCATAGAGTC